CATATGTGTGCGTAATGATAGGTAGACTTCTATGTCTGCAAATATGTGCACACTTTTAGTACAAAAGTTCACAACACTCAGTGGTCTTTTTTTGAAATGTGTATTGGTTAGGACAGAGCATCAACTAAAGCCAGCACGTTTCTGTAGAAAGTCCTCCCCTTCCTCAGGGCTTGATCAGTGGATGTTATTAGAATCACAATAGGAGACCCATGTTAGGGCTTGATGAAGATGCTCAGACCGTAACAGCACTATGAACTTCCGGCTGGTAACCATCTGCACACAACAGCCGGCAGAAGAGATTCCTCCATCCATTCTGCTTAGCATAGATGGGGGATTCAGGTGATTTCCCATGGGGCTGAATGAGAATGATCCAAACATGGATGGCTAAACTCAAGTTGGGTATACACTAGTAGATTTTCCTTCAACATTTTTCGTTGTAAGAAGAGTGTAAGAATGTTCGTTTGTTTTTCGAATCATTAGTGGGGTCAAATCGATGTTCATTTTTTATTTCAGTGATGGGTAAAGGAGCAGGATGGAAAATTGTTCTCGAAAGTACGAATTTTTAACAGTGTGTGTGGTTTTTGTTTGGTATAGTCAATTCATTCCAAAATGTAATATTACATACCGTACTGTAGTTGGTAAAGTTATTTATTTATTTCAGGTATTTATATAGCACCGTCAATTTACACAGCGCTTTACATATATATTGTACATTTACATCCCTAACCCTCAAGGGGGAGTACAATCTAAAGTCCCTAACTCACATTCATACACATACTAGGGCCAATTTAGACAGGATCCAATTAACCTACCAGTATGTCTTTGGAGTATGGGAGGAAACCGGAGTCCCCAGGCACAGGGAGAACATGCAAACGCCAGGCAGATGATGCCACGGTTGGGATTTGAACCAATGTCCCTAGTACTGCCAGGCAGAACTGCTAACCATTTAGCCACTGTGCTGCCCCAGGTTGAATAAAGACATTAGTCCATCCAGTTCAACCTCTGTGGGTGTGTATATTTATGTCTCTACCATTTTCCTGTATATTGTGGTCTCTAAGATGCCCATCATAGATTCTATGCAGTTTATGGTTAAACCACTTCTCATCCAACCTCATTGAGTGGCTAATCTGGGACTGAACAGTTTCCTCCCTATGCTAGAATCACCATTTACATATGTTAAAAGCAAACAAAATTTTGAACTACTTTTGAACGAAATTGAACTTACTGAGACTTTTCCTAAGCATTTTCATTCAAAATTCTTCTATTGTATAGGTATACTGTACCGCAGTATATACCAATGTATTCTGGAAAGCCCCATGAAGGAAGGTCTGTAGACTTTATCACGTCCTGATCATTATCGCTCTACGCCGGATCTTACCCCACTTCTCGAAATATGTTTATCAGTGTGCTGCCTTTCCTCTCAGTGTGCGGCCTGTGTGGGGTGTAGATGTTCATGGCTCAGGGGCAAAGTGCAATGCAATAATGACTTAATTGGCTGCACGTTTTTTCTGCTTACATACTGACTATAGACTGAGACATGTACTCACCTCAACACATTTCCTGACTCAAATGAACATAAACACAGCTTACTATATTTATACAGACACATGCACGCACCTCAGCAACCTTCTTCGACCAAGATAAAGCTGACGCGGCAAAGCCGCCCACCACAAAGCGCAGTGTTGTAGAACTATACATAGGACCAGACGGACATAGGGGAAGACAGACGGCCATCAAATACATAGACTATGTACATAGACTATACATAGACACTATGTACTAAACTGTAACACATGCATAGGGGACTTGTATCAAGGCAATGTTACACACAATCACATTTAGTCCTCATGCACACGGGAGGTTTTTACAGCGGCTGTTTTTGGCTTTTGATGTTTTTTTCTACAGCCAGTAAACCCCCAGCATATTATCCTATGTGTCCATTCACGCATAGACTGTAATCAACATTTTTTGGCAGTGACGTTTTTTGGCTGGGAAAAAAACCCAGGACTAGTGGGTTTCCAGATGAGTTTTTTAGCTGTAAAAATGCTTTAATGCTGAGAAAGGCAGCAAAACACGATAAAACGCAGCAAATCTGCGTTTTTGGACTGTTTTGGACCAAAAAAAAAAACCACCAAAAAACGCAAACGCAGAAAAACACAGCAGAACGCTAATGCAAAAACGCTAAACAATGCTGAAAGACTCCCGTTTTTAGCGTGCCTTTACACAGTTAACGTTGCCAGCGTTATCTAAATGCCCCGTGTGCATGGAGACTTAGGCTTCATGCACACTGAACAATTTTAATGCTGCTGTTAGGGGCATCTGGCAGGTTTTTTGCTGCCTCTGAACGCCCCTGCATATTAGAGATTCACTAAAACTGGTGCACTCAGCATCTGGTGCAGCTGTGCATGGTAGCCAATCAGCTTCTAAGGCCAGCCATACATGGGTCGATTTCCGAACGATTTTTCATTTGAAAATCAGACCTAAGAATAATCGACTGATTTTCACTCTGTTAGTGGGGCAATGGCACCGACCGATTTTCGTGGTTTTTATTATTATTATTATACAGTATTTATATAGCGCCAATAGTTTGCTCAGCGCTTTACATTATAATGGGAGACAGTACACGAAACAGTACAGTAACAATACTATTCAGTACACGAGGGGTTTGAGGGCCCTGCTCCTTGGAGCTTACAATCTAGGAGGGAGGGGATAGTGGTACAGGAGGAAACAACTGTGGGGGATGAAGTGGAAGGAAGAGTGGAGGAGTTCAGTAATTAGCTGAGGGCGGGGTAGGCTTCCCTGAAGAGATGGGTTTTCAGGGTGGGCCTAAAGGTGAGGAGAGTAGGTGATAGTCTGATGGATTGGGGTAGGGAGTTCCAGAGGATGGGGGAAGCCCTGGAGAAGTGCTGGAGGCGGGCATGGGAGGAGGAGACCAGGGAACTAGAGAGTAGGAGGTCTTTTGAGGAGCGGAGAGTACGTTTTGGGTGGTATTTGGATACCAGATCGGTGATGTAGTTTGGGCCAGTATTGTGAACAGCTTTGTACATCAATGTTAGCATTCTGAATTTTATCCGTTGGGCAATCGGAAGCCAGTGGAGGGATTGGCAGAGGGGGGTGGTGGATACGGAGCGGTTTGTGAGGTGGATGAGTCTGGCAGCAGCATTCAAGATGGACTGAAGTGGGGATAGACCGCGGTGAGGTAAGCCAGTGAGGAGGGAGTTACAGTAGTCAAGTCATGAAATAATAAGGGAGTGAATGAGTTGCTTAGTAGTTTCCGGGGTTAGGAACGACGTATTTTGGAGATGTTGCGGAGGTGAAGTCTACATGAGTTAGTCAGCGATTGGAGTTGGGGCTGGAGGGATGTGGTTTTGTGAAAAACGATCAACTTTCAAAATCATTGGTGGCACCATCGGATTACCGAACACACGTTTTCGATTTTCGATCGAAAAATTGTTAGTAATTTGAACCATGTATGGCCTGCATAACTTCAGCTTGCTGAATTAAGCTTTGACAATAAAACCTGGAAGCTGATTGGTTTCTATGCAGAGTCGCATCAGATTCAGTTTTGGTAAATCTCCCTCTATGTGTTCATGCACACATAGGCATTTAGAGGCGTTTAGAGGCAGAAGAAACCCCCACATGCAGTGCATCCAGGAGCAGCGGCATTCAGCAGGTGTAAATATGCCTAAATGCAATTTGGTGCTAGGCGCTTTTAACACCTGAGCGATAGCTCATTTCAATGGCCAGAACAAAATATTATTCTGGCCAATGAAATGAATTAACACAAAAGCTATTGACGCGCCTAAACGCGTTGTACGTGTTTACAAGCATCAAGCGTTTTTTCTGCCAAGACACTGCTGACAGGAGGAAAATTGTCTAGGAGAGATAGCAAAATGTCCAGTGTACCTTATTATAATGATGCAGCTTCTATAGTACCATTGCGTCAGGAAAAAACCTGTCCCTGACTATGTGACGGAGACCCTTAAAAATAGGAAAAGGCACAGAATAATCAAGTATTTTAAAGCCCAACTCTAGGAGTTTTAAAAATTATACCTTGCAGTGTGAGCACTCATTTGGGTCTAGGGGGACAAAGAAAACAAGATCTGCTTACCGATCCTCCAGCATCTTCTCCCCGAGCTGAACCAGTCCTGACATCATCAAGACCAATGCAGAGTCCATAGACCTGCAGTGGATGAGATGATGTCATGGGATAGTCCACCACCTAAACTAATCCAGTGTGTGAAAATGTTTATTTGATAGTCACAAAGGATGTAAATCCACTTTTGTGTGCATCAAATGGTTTTAGAAAACCAGCTACTATCTTGTAAAAATAGCAGTGACATTATCAGTGTGCTGTACATAGCCTATGTAAAGAGCAGAGTCGTGGGAGGGGCCCAGTAGGCCCACCCACTACAGAAAATTACAGGAGGAGGCAGAGACAAGACCAGTCTCACTGCACAAGGAGAGAGAGCAGCAGTGGCTGGTCTTTGTTACAGGAAGCTCCTGGACAGGGGTAAACCTTGACGTTGGATTACTGCTCAGATCTGGAAGGAAAAAAAACAAGGTTTAAGCAAGAATACTCAGAACTCTTGTATTTAGACATTAAAGCTGATAGGCAAATAAAGTGTTACTAAACCCACAACAGTAAAATCAGTCTGTATATGCAGTAAAACATGCTTGATATACTCACTGTGGAACCTAAGGGGTTAACCCTCTGCATTGTCTAAAAAGGAGATTTGATCCTGTCTTCTCTGATTCTCCCCTTCTTCCAGTGTCCCCCTTATCTCCTGATAAGACATATCGTGTGGAGATACTGCACATGCTCAGTTTGGTGTGTATTGCTAGAGAGGGTTTTTTTTTTTCTTGGGAGAGTGTATGTGATCAGCACAGGGCCAATCAGCACTGTCCAGACATAGGTCAGGGGTTCTGCATCCTCCTAGAAAAAAATTAAAACTCCTCCTACAAGCTTTAACTAGTGCTCTGCTGATGAGAACATTTATTTAGCAGTTTATATTTACTAAAATAATTGCATTTACATGTTGTGTGTACTGTGGGAGACCAGATATAGTGAATGCAGGGTCTGGGGAGACAGATATAGTGAATACAGGGTCCGGGGGAGACCAGATATAGTGAATGCAGGGTCCGGGAGATCGGATATAATGAATGCAGGGTCCGGGGAGACCAGATATAGTGAATGCAGGGTCCGGGGAGACCAGATATAGTGAATGCAGGGTCCGGGGAGACCAGATATAGTGAATGCAGGGTCCGGGGAGATCAGATATAGTGAATGCAGGGTCCGGGGAGACCAGATATAGTGAATGCAGGGTCCGGAGATCGGATATAGTGAATGCAGGGTCCGAGGAGACCGGATATAGTAAATGCAGGGTCGGGGGGAGACCAGATATAGTGAATGCAGGGTCGGGGAGACCAGATATAGATGCAGGGTCCGGGGAGACCAGATATAGTGAATGCAGGGTCGGGGAGATCAGATATAGTGAATGCAGGGTCCGGGGAGACCAGATATAGTGAATGCAGGGTCGCAGAGATCGGATATAGTGAATGCAGGGTCCGGATATAGTAAATGCAGGGTCCGGGGGAGACCAGATATAGTGAATGCAGGGTCCGGGGAGACCAGATATAGTGAATGCAGGGTCCGAGGAGACCGGATATAGTAAATGCAGGGTCCGGGGAGACCAGATATAGTGAATGCAGGGTCCTGGGTTTAGTAACACTTTAAGGTCCATTTACTTTATTGCAGTGCGTTAACATGCATGTGTTAACAGGTCTTTTCTTAGGTCAACCCATTGAAAATTAATAGACTGCCAAATCACGTCACAAGAAATGGTACAGCAAACACAACACAATGCAAATAGTAAACGTAAATAGGAAGTTAATGCTTGCGGTCTGTGTTTTTTTCTCTCTACAGTCATTTATATCTTTGGGTTCATTCTTTTTAAATGCACTTGTGTTGAAGCACACCACAACACGCAGGTAGACACCATAGTGTGTTGCGTTACAGATTTTATGGGACGCTTTGGTGGGTTGGTGGCCCTCTATTTTGAATGAGCTGTCTTAATGCAATGCATGCTAATGCGTGACATAACGCACATTAATGCACTGAAAAATTCTAAATGGGCCCTGAAGTTTTTTTTTTTTTTTTACTCACTTGCAATGTGCCTCTGAATTTGCTAACAAAGTTGGCTACTTCAGGAAGTGTCATTTCCCTTGCACTACCCCCTTGCTCCTTGCAGGCCATAACCCTCTCCTCTTGTTGGAGTATCTTAATGCTGTCTAGGCTGGCCCAGCTGCTTCACCCCTCCCATCAACTCCCTCCTTTTATGTAGCTTCGGGGGAGGAGGAAAGAGGAATACTATAGAGCAGCCTTTCTCAACATTTTCATCCGAGAGGTACACTAGAAATACGTTTTAGGTCTCAGAGAGCCCTTCCGAAAACCAGTTTATTGGTGGTCGGTGAAAAAAATGCCCCTTACATTGGCAATGGTGGTTAGTGGAAGGAATGCCTCCTTATGGTGGCAGCTGGAATGTCACCCTTACAGATAGCTAAAAAGATCACTGGTGTCATGCAGCTGGCTGTGCCAGGTGCCCTTGGACCTAGAGCTATGCAGGAACCATAGGGTGAATGACAGAACAAGGAACCCCTTGCAACCTCTGGAGGAACCCCGGGGTTCCACAAAATGTGGTCAAGAGTGGCTGGTCAACAGAACTTTCCAGCAAACCGATAAGTATTTCAAGGCAATTTTTAGTATTTTAAGATAGGACAAATGATTATAGAATAATTTTGTTTGGCTCAAGGTCAACTTTAAACTAAAAGATAACACTTATTGTCAGCATTTTTACCGATTGCTGGAGACATATATTTAGACCGTTGGTTTGCCCTAGATTTAAGGGGCAGTTGGTAACCAAGGTTAGTTTTATGGGCAAGTGTCTCAGCCCAGGTTCTGAAAATGGAAGAAATACTAATGAATGTGTTGACCAAACTCAACAAATCCAATATACAGTATGTCCCTATTGTGGTTTTTAGAGCTAAGAAAATCATAGGCAACTATGATGTATCTCAAGGCCTACCATTCGTGGTCAAAAGTGCACCATGTAGTGGTAGATAGACAGCTAAAAAGATCACTAGTGTCATGCAGCTAGCTGTTGGACCTAGAATTATGCAAGAACCATAGGGTGAGAGGTCAATCAGCCACAGAACAAGGAGCCCCTTGCAACCTTTGGAGGAACCCTAGGGTTCCAAAGAACCCTGGTCAAGAATGGCTGGTCTCAAGAACTCTCCAGCAAACAAAAGTATTCTAAGGCCTTTTTTGGATTTTAAGATAGGACAGATGATTCTAGAGTAATTTTGTTTGACTTGAGGTCAGTTTTAAACTAAAATAATTTTTACTGAATGCTAGATACACATTTTTAGAACCCTGGTTTATCCTAGATTTAAAGTGTTACTAAACCCAGGACCATGAATTCCATTTATCTGGTCTCCCACAGTACACAGAACATGGAAATGCAAATATTTTAGTAAATATAAACTGCTAAATACCTTTCCTGGAGTATATAGCAGTCTTGTGACTCCTCAGTGTCCAGCCGAATACTTGTAGTAGAAGTTTTCATTTTGTTCTAGGAGGATGCAAAACCCCTGACGTCTGTCCGGACAGTGCTGATTGGCCCTGTGCTGATCACATGAACTCTCCCAAGAAAAAAAAAAAAAAACCTCTCTAGCAATACACACCAAACGAGCATGTCTTATCAGGAGATAAGAGGAGGACACTGTAAGAAGGGAAGGATCAGAGAAGTCAGGATCAAACAGCGTTTTTACACAATGTAGAGGATTAACCCCATAGGTTCCACAGTGAGTATAACAACCATGCTTTACTGCATATACAGTGAGGAACAGAAGTATTTGAACACCCTGCAAATGTGCAAGTTCTTCCACTTAGAAATCTTGGGGGGGTCTGAAATTCATATTGTAGGTGCATTCCCACTCAGACAGAATTTAAAAAAAAATTCAGGAAATCACATTGTATGATTTTTAAAGAATTCATTTGTCTTGCACTGCTGAACATAAGTATTTGAACACCTAGGAAACAGCAAGAATTCTGGCTCTCAAAGACCTGTTACTGTGCCTTTAAAAAGTCCACCTCTACTCCACTCATTAATCTAACTTAGTAGCACCTGTCTGAGCTCTTTAAAGACACCTGTCCACCCCACAGTCAGTCAGACGCCAACTACTACCATGGGCAAGACCAAAGAGCTGTCAAAAGACACCAGAGACAAAATTGTGGACCTCCACAAGGCTGGAAAGGGCAATTGCCAAGCAGCTTGGTGAAAATCGATCAACTGTTGGAGCAATTGTTAGAAAATGGAAGAGGCTAAAGACGACTGTCAGTCTCCCCGGTCTGGGGCTCCATGCAAGATCTCACCTCGTGGGGTATCACTGATGATAAGAAAGGTGAGGAATCAGCCCAGAACTACAAGGGAGGAGCTGGTCAATGACAAGAAGAGAGCAGGGACCACAGTTTCAAAGGTCACTGTCGGTAGAACACTACGCCGTCATGGTTTCAAATCATGCATTGCACGGAAGGTTCCCTGCTCAATCAATCACATGTCCAGACCCGTCTGAAGTTTGCCAATGACCATCTGGATGATCCAGAGGAGGCATGGGAGAAAGTCATGTGGTCAGATGAGACCAAAGTAGAACTTTTTGGTCTAAACTTTCACTCGTCGTGATTGGAGGAAAAAGGATGAGTTGCATCCCAAGAACACCATCCCTACTGTGAAGCATGGGGGTGGTAACATCATGCTTTGGGGGTGCTTTTTTGCGAAGGGGACAGGACGACTGCACTGTATTAAGGAGAGGATGAATGGGGCCATTTATTGTGAGATTTTGAGCAACAACCTCCTTCCCTCAGTCAGATCTTTGAAGATGGGTCATGGCTGGGTCTTCCAACATGACAACGACCCGAAGCACACAGCCAGGATAACCAAGGAGTGGCTCCGTAAGAAGCATATGAAGGTTGTGGAGTGGCCTAGCCAGTCTCCAGACCTAAATCCAATAGAACATCTTTGGAGGGAGCTGAAACTCTGTGTTGCTCAGCGACAGCCCCAAAACTGACAGATCTAGAGGAGATCTGTGTGGAGGAGTGGGCCAAAATCCCTGTTGCAGTATGTACAAACCTGGTCAAGAACTACAGGAAACGTTTGACCTCTGTAATTGCAAACAAAGGCTTCTGTACCAAATATTAACTCTGATTTTCTCAGGTGTTCAAACACTTATGTTCAGCAGTGCAAGACAAATAAATTCATTAAAAATCATACAATGTGATTTCCTGAATGTTTTTTTTAAATTCTGTCTCTCAGAGTGGGAATGCACCTACAATGTGAATTTCAGACCCCTCCATGATTTCTAAGTGGGAGAACTTGCTAAATCGCAGGGTGTTCAAATACTTCTGTTCCTCACTGTACAGGCTGATTTTACTGTTGTGGGTTTAGTAACACTTTAAGGGTCAGTTGGTACCAAGCACAGTTTTAGGGACAGGTATCTCAGCCCAGGCTCTGAAATTGGAAGGAATACTAATGTGCTGATCAAACTCCACAAATCCAGTTTATGTCCATTTTGCTCATTGTGGTTCTTAGAGCTAAGAAAACCACAGGAAGCTATGACACCTCTTAAGGCCCACGACTATTGATCTAAAGTGCAATGCGTAGTGGTAGACAGACAGCTAAAAAGATCATTATTGTCTGCATTGACCCTTGACCTATGTAGGCACCATCAGATAGGAACCCCTAGGAACCACTGAAGGAATCCTAGTTGAGAATGTCTGCTTTAGGCAGGCCATACATTATACAATTTTCTTGAGAAATTTTCTTTAGATTTACCAAAAAACATATAATATGAGGTCAAACCTAAACAACACTTTGTATCCAATTAGACAGGCCCTTGCGCTACATAGTTGAAGGTAAATCTAACAGAAATTGGGCAGAAATTGGACAGAAAATTGTATAGTGTATGGCCAGCCTTAGAGTGTCTCTTCAGATGATTCTAGAATCACAGCCAAGCTGTGGGCACCCAGCAACAGTATGGGGCTTTCAAAGTCTACACAGGTACACAGTGTGCCTAAAACATGTTAAACGCATATGTGAGAGGGTTGTTGTTGAAATGAATGGTCTGGTGACAGGGACTCTTTAATTATATGTCTGTTCGGAGTAAAAATCTGTCTCATCTTGATGGAAATCTGTCTAAGCCGCAGTGTTAATTTTGTTGCAGACCTATTCAAAACTGTCTCAGTTGGCTGCCAAAATTTACAGACACATGAGTCCAAAGAAATTGTGAACTGAACAGCGTCTTGATTTCCATCTAATTTGCTTGGTACATGTCCCCTGCAGTGTTGTCATACCAATGTGTTATTTTCTACTTCTTACAATTGAAAACGATTTTTACAATATATTGGAGATAAATATACATTTTCTGCAGTGTTATGTACAGATAAATCTGCCCACTGATCATAAAGGTATTGTTCCTTTGAATACCACAAGCTGGTGGTAAATGGCAGTTTCAATTCCATTTCAATTAAGGAAGGCTTGTGAAATAAAATAAAGGGTTTTTTTAAGCAGTTAAATAACTATTTCATGCAAAATGCACTTTGGATGAGGTTTATTGTTTAACCCTTTTGCTGCCATATACGCTTTTGCTTTTTTTTTTTTGCACGT